CCTACAAACTAGAGATGTGAAATCCTATCTAGCATTTTTCATGACTTGAAATGTTACCAGTGGCAACTTTTGTCAGTTTAGTTAATATTTAGAGTCTGCATTATCAATTTGCATGATTTTGCTTTGCTGTTTGACACGTTATTAATATGTAAACCCATAGTGAACCAGACAGAAGTTTGAGATTGTCAGTGAACCGTGGAGGCATTCACCAGTTGGTTGTTACTTTAAGTCATGAATATCTAAACAGGAATTTAATAGTTGTTTCTACAAAATGGATATTTAGGACCTCTTGCTTAAAATCAATGAATTCTGTATCTTCTTTCTTCTGACAAATTGCATACCACACTTTGTGTTAGATTGTGAACTCCTGGATTCAGGCTGTCTATTATGTTTACATGTGCATAAATAACTTTCCAGTGCTGAAATTAATTGGGCCTGTAAAGCAAGAATCACAATTCTTTTTCTCCTCTATAAACATGTTTAATTGTACCTGCAGTAGACAAGATTCAGTGAAGTAAATACAAATATCGAGGATGACCTTTCATTATTTCGTTTTATGATTTTTTCCTCAAAAAGACATTATGGGGTTGCCAATGCTGTAGTATGGTAATTTAAGGAAAAAATTTGAAAACATTCTAGAGGCAAGTTCTTTTTCTATCATCTCCTTGTTGGTATACGTTTGTATTCATTGGTAGAGCAGTTTCATTTTTCTGAATGAAAAAATAGGAGCCAAAATAAAACCTAGCTGTCTCTGGGGTTCTTGTCCAAAATAATCCTAACTTCACTTTTCATTCCTCTCAGCAACCTCTTAGCTAAAAAGGCACCTAAAATAAATTCACCTTATCTTTCAGGTTTTTATAAGAACCTGTGGTTCATGTTTTACTGTGTCTTGAGGAGAGTGACACCAAAATATATCTCAGTGGCTGAGAATTTTGAGATAAAGCATAACTTACACATCCTTCCTGCAACATGGACTTCAGTACACTGCAAAATAGTCAGAACTTTTAATTTTAGAAATGTGGCCACTCTGTAGAACACTTGGGTAAGGAGTATGAATTGTGGGTTCCAGGTTGTCCTCAGTTCGATCATCTTCCCCTTAGAATAATGTCCTAATTAGCAGTGTTGCCTGTAAATTTGAATTGTTGTACTGCAGAAAAGCAAGGACATTTGAGTCCGTAACACATGAATTTTTTGATGGGCTACATTGAGACTGCAGGATGTTCTGCCAAGTTACTGAATGTTTGAGTGTTTTTTCCACTTTGCAGAGGATGAGAATTTTGAGTCCCGCAAAATTTTTCCACTTACAGAAATACATGGTTGTCACTTGTATAATTATGGTGAAGCAGTAGTTAATGCTTGCTTTGTCCAACACGTGGCTGACTGCAGTTCACATCTATGAAAGCGTTTGCATGTTGCTTTATTCTTCTTTAGTGTATAATGGAAAACTTTGAATTGTTCATTTGTAAAAGCTCAGTACATTAATAAATGATGGTGTTAACTATCTTTTCAGCATAAAACACAGATAATAGAGTTCTTTTATGTGTGTATTTGAGTGAATATTTTAAATTCTCTTTTTTCTTTACTAGGAAAATGTTCTCTGTAGGATTTAATTTTTTTTTAACCAAAAACTACTGGCTAGAAGCTAATTTGAGGCATCAGCAGTCAGATGATGATAAAGTAGGGTAAAAGGCAACAAATATAATTGCTTGTCTGCTGTTTATAGATTATCTAAAGAGCAGCAGTGAAGTTGACACTCAGCTTCTGAGCGGCAGCTGTGAATTTAAGAATTGTCTTGTCCGTTTCTGAAAACTGTAAGCATCAGCAACTGTTGGCACTCAGGAAAATTATATTTCCTGGTTTATCTGTTCTCCTTTTTAAAGATTATCACCACCTCTGCTGTGTCTGAAAATAGTTCTACGTGAAAACTTCAGCTTTTATATAACATATATCTTGTTTCAAAAGTCAGTTGTTGGTATGTTTTTTTTTTTTCCACTCAAACACTTTTCCCCTTCTTCATGGTTCTTTCGTGCATTTAACATTGTCATGACTACAGAATACAGATCAACATTTCACAGTTATTTGAGTAACCTTTGCTTAGATTATAAAACCTAAATGATCACTACAATCCCACCCATAAACCAATGAATTTTCATAAAAGATAAATAGAAAAAAAAATGGGCACCTCACAAGGACAGAGTGAATGTGGAGAGACCTTTTTTCATTCCAAGGTATGTCAACTGGGCTTTAATTAACACACTGTATTCAGCTATAAAAATTCTTTACTTTGAAACTCAGTGACAGTCAAGGATGTGAAATTTCTTCCTGTATTTGAAAACATCAAAGAAAGCACTTCCAATATAACTTTTACAACTGAAGGTTTGGTGATCAGTGCAGGAAAGGGGCAAATACATCAACAGGCATAAAAATATTGATCTCTGGATGGAAGAACTCTTAAAGAGCTTAACTGGTCAAAATACATTTCATTGTCTATAATTAAAAATATATCTACATATATCAACACCAAATGCCAGTTATACTTTCAGCGATATGTAAGAAAAACGATGGACTTAAATCTTCAAGTCAATTCTGATTGCATTTATTTATTTCATTTAGTACATTCATTAGTGTGATGACCCTGATGCCTTTTAATTTCACTTTGGAAAACCTGATTGTGGAAGGTTAGCTGTGATCACATATAGGTTATAGGGCATTCATTTTTTTTATTCTCTTATATGTGTTCATAAAATGTTTTTGTCTCTTTGAAGGATATAATTGATATATCTGTGCACCAGGACTATATGAAATTCTGAGCTGCCTATGCCAGTACCCATTGGTTATTTCTCATGATTATGGGCAGAAGGATGGTTGAACCTGTAATTGAAACTGCTTTATAATTTTTATTATTAACGCCCGTTTTTAGTCACTTAAAAGTTTTTCCAAGTTGTACCATACAACTCTAACAAGAAGCGCTTTTGAAAAGAAGATAGACAATACTACAGAAAACCAGCTCAATTTAAAGCAAATCATAGAATCATTCGAGTTCCATGTCCTTGCTAAAACGCATTTAAAAACATGACAGTAGCTTAATGTGCTAAATGAAGTGATTTTGTCCCAATACAAGAGAGCTCATTACAAATGAACTTTTATAAGTAGTTTATTTCCGTGGATTGACAACATAATAAGGATGCAGGTCATGGTTCTGGCAGAAGATGGATGCAGAAGCTAGTCCTTTCTTTGATCTGCTCCATTGCCTCAGGGAAAAGCTCAATTGGTTGAGGAATCAGCCAACATGCCCTTTGCTTATAGTTCCAGCTTCTTCATCTACTTGGTGTAAATTTTCTTTTTTGGCATTATTCTATTTTCCCTGCATAGTCTGGTTTCCCTGTAACAGCACACAGGTGCACTTATCTGCCTGTATATCTAATATGTGTTCACAGAGAAAAAGCAATGGCAAAGTTCACAGAAAAAGCAAGAGGATTTTGAATGGAAGGTATCAGCCGAGAATAACTAAGGTTGTGTTTCACTTATGGTGTGAAAAAATGACACTGTGTCGCTCCTTGCTGTTTCCTTCAACTTTCTATTTTCGTTTCCTTGTATTTTGTACGGTGAGTTTAGATCTGGGGTCAGCCAGGTCATACCCACTTACTTAGGAAGGTATGAGTAATGTAGAATTGGGGATAAAATGGAATCAACTGTAGTGTGCAGTACCACGTTAGGAAGGTAAGTAGTAGCTGCTTAATATTGGGATCGCTTGCCCAAAACTGCATCTACTCGTGCAACCTTCCTTCATCAACTCAGTCCATATACCGAATTTATTCATGCAAAAAGATAAACAGACTAGAAAACTTAGGTGCAGTGATGGACTCTTAACAAACCTAAAGATACTTTTTCATGTACGCACTGAGGGTGAGAACAGCATGTCAATGCCTTTGAATAACTTCAGTTTTTGTCTAAGTTTCCCAACATAGATATTGATTGTTGGGATCTCTGCCTTCAAGCTATACTGTGTATGTATAAGATGGTTTGGAGGTTGCACAACTTCCTTTTAAAAGTGCTGGGTATGGAAACCTATTCTCATCAAATGACAAGTATTATTCTTACTGCTTGAACCTTACTGTTATCTCCAGCAAATTTATTAGGGTTATAGAGTGTATACTTACTCGTGCCGCCCTTACTGAGAAATATGCTGCTTCTTATAGGCAGAACTAGAGATAAGGACTGATTTCTTGCATTTCTGCATGTGTAGCACAAAATTACTGAATTACAGGTAAAAAGTATGTGTTGGGTCGTGATGACAGCTGCTGAACTGGAAGATGTTTGCATCCAAGCTCTGAGGCTTACGATTTTTGGTGTGCCTTCAAAAAGGATCCACAACATTACATATAGGTTTTCTTTGAAGTTTCAAGCTAAAGCACTCAAGGTGTACATCTCTACACAGTGTACAAAGATGTCGAGTGTACATCTTGGTCTCTCTTATTCTGTATACTTATGCAGAATGACTGCTACGATGACATAATCACTGTCTGCATGGTCATGGTATGATTCAGTATGCAAAATAGATGGCAAATGGAGTAAGGTTTTTGAGAAGTGCTCTTTTTTTACCCTTGGCCTAGCATCTAGGGAAGCTTGATGGTATTTCCTTTTACTGACAGATTTGGATGGGATGTCATAGAGCACTCAAAAGAAAAAGAAAAGGTTGTGTACATTAGCACTGACTAAAAGTCCATAAGCAAGCCTGTGTTTGGTATCGCATATCTTTTAAGTAACTGATGCTGCAATAACGTTCATCTAGTATGTGTAAAAATTGATAGATTGATGGTTAATGACAGATTTTGCACTTAAAATAGGGGGTGGATTTCATGTGAAGGAAACCATATGGATGGTGGTTTAATATGTATTGGAATAGATTAGGCCCACAAAGTTAAAATGCCTTTTTAGTGCAAATTGTGATTGGTTCTGATGTTAGGTGGTTTTTTTTGTTTTCTGTTTTTGTTTTACAGTGTTATGTGGGAACCAATGGGAGATGGCAAAAAGATTATTTCGTTGGCTGATAATAACATATTATTGTGGGATTTGCAGGAAAGTTCAGCCCAAGCAGTGGTAAGTTGTGTGTGGGGTTTTTTGTGCGTTTTTAGGGTTTTTTTTCTTAAATCATTATATACTTGAATATAGTACAAAACAGTAACATTCACTAGCCTAGAATTTGCTGGTCTCACTATTCCTTCAAAAATATCTTGTTGTCTTTAACGTGAGTGGGGGAAATGAATATTCTGTCTTGAATATGAATTTTTAAGAAGTATGCAACTTGGTATTTTGTATCTGTTGCTGGTGGTTATGTATTTTCCTTTTTCTAGAGTTGCCTTTAATTTCCTTCTGGATTTACATTGAATAATCTAAAATAAAGCAATGCTAATGTGGTAAATATGTGTGAGAGAAAAATTGGTGATTGGTAAAGCCAAAGGTTACTGAATTCAAATTAATAGTACTTTAACACATTGGTTAATACCATGCAGCCCTCTGTTTTACAAGCCTTGTTGTATGTATAAGCATAATAATAAATTGCTCTGTTTTCTGTGCAGTGCTTTGAGTTCTCACTTTGAGAATCTTGTAATGAATTTGAATTTATTTTTTGTTCTCTTCATTTTATTTTGCTTGGGATTTATTTACTGAAATTGCTGCATGTTGTGTCTTCCTTTTGCTATTACTTTTCTCAAAATTAACCTCCTGACTCTGCCACACAAACATTTGTGAATGTGACTATGATTTCCATTTTCTTTTTCTTCCATTACTAGAATTGAGTTCTCCATAATTTTGGAGAGGGCTTGACTCCTCACCAAAATATGTAATTTCAGCCTAATTTTGGAAATCAGTATTTCTGTCCTCAAATTGGTATGCAGCTTGCTGATCCCTTCAGTATTTAAATTAGTGTTCCTTACCTACAATATCTTTTATTCTGTTACTTTTAAAATATGCTTGTACTGCATCAAATATTGACGCCAAAGTAAGGACTGCAGAAGGCACAGTAAGTGATAAAGGAACTAAGGGGACTTAACCTGTGACATCATGTGCTTATATTTGATAAAAGGAAACAAGAAAAAACAAAAGTGAGGTTTTGCATGAAAAAACTAACTTCATCTAATGAAGCTAAGACTATGAAAGCAGATATATCAACCCTTGACTGACATCTTCAGATAGGAGCATTTTGAAATGTCTGTTAAAAACCTTAGTTTGCAGAAGTTAGGAGTGTCATTTTGATTTTACAGTCAGGCTCTCAGGAGACCTGGTGTAGAATTTGACTGATTATATTTCTAAGATTATCCAGTATCTCACGTGAATGTACAGTAAATTAGAATTGCTTGTGATTAAAATGTTACCTGGAAATAACTGCTTACCTTTATCGGTTCTTCTGCCCCAGCAATTTTGAGTTACTCTTAGGCATTTGCTTCATCACTGAGCGAGTGACCACTTAAAAAGTGAAGTTTAATAGTGAAAGTCCTTGGAAGCTGGTTTTCAGAAAATTTATCTCCAGCCATCTAAATCTTGAGCCAAGTGAATTTCAGCTGGTATTGTTGTATTCGTGTTGAATTTTTGTCTGCAACAAATCTTTCTCAAACGTGTCTGAATTCCGGAGTTAACCAGAGTCCAGCTGAACAACACTCTGATGAAAGCATGAGCATCTCTTAAATTCCTAGAAAATCTGTGGTAGGCATTTAAAATTATGATAATCTAATGGCCAGTATCATAGGCTTTTTCATGCCTAGAATCACTGCTGTGTTGTTTCTGAAGATTACCTCATTCGTAAGAGAATAACTCCCTGTCAGAATCCATAGATGGCTGAAAACCAATAACTGGTGTTCTCTAACAGTTTTATATTTAGAAAAAATTATGTAGGACTGCCAATTGCAGGGAGCAATGAGGAAAAAGTAAGAAATGTTTCATTACTGAGATGGCTTTCTGATTGTTGAGGGGTTTTGTGTTGTGTGATGTTTGGGTTTTTTTTGGGGTGTGTTGGTTTTTTTTGGTTTGCCTATTTTTTTTTTCCAAATTAAAACTCCTCCCTATCCTGTACTGTTAAGAGATTTACAATGTGAGAGAAAAATCTGTGAGAATAGGTTGGTTAGAAGACAGATAGCATTGGCAGGGGTATGTTTTCTGTTGGGTTATTGCCATGTGCAAAGAGGGTTTGTAGACCAGTAAGCTGTTGGAGATTTCTTTCTGTGTATGCCTGTTTGATAAGGGATTGTTGAATGCAGAATACGCTGTAAACTTAAAAAGCACAATTTGTTTTTTAGTGCTCTTTGGTCAAAGTGTAAAACCAGAATTTTATAAGATATTGCTAAAAAGAGCTTTTTCTGCCCTGAAAATGGGCACAGAACAACCTTCAGCAATCAACTCTCTCACCAGCATTAAAAAGGGGGGCATGTATTTAATTAAAAAAAAAATAGTTTCTGAAGAGAGACCATGGAAGTTGTTCACAGTTCTTTGGAGGTTATAGCTGATTATGAGGTGTCGGTGCTATGCAGAAAATTCTTTCCAGGAAGTCGACATTTCCTTTATAGGCAGATACGCAAGGAGATTATTTAAATTATTATAAACATTGTGTTTATTGTTCATTAGCATAAATACATTTTTGGCATGTCTTTGGTCAAAATCACATCCTACTACCTAACATTCTATTTGGTTCTAGCAGATGGTGGCAAAGCAGTAAATAGCTAGTAAACTTTTATATTCTTTAGTGGCCGTTGAGGGGAACAAGTCTTTACTGAATATTTCCATAACTTATAAGTGAAATAACCATGTATGTGTGTGTGTACGTTAACTGACTAAATCAATAGCCTAGGATTAAGCTAATAAAAATGTCAGTGTGATTTTTGGGTTTTTTTTTCCCCTCTTTTTAATGAAAACATGATAGTGTTCAAGTTGAATGAAATCCTCACCATTAACTAAAAGTAGGATCTGGTCCATTGTATGTCTATGGGATAATAGAAGTAAGGAGGTATTCATTACACTGGTGCAGCACTGGTCTTCCTGTTCTAAGAACACATTTCAATTGCTTCCTCTTTTGGATCGGTATGCATTATAGGCAATACTAATTTTAATGGCAAAAGGTAAACCCAGTGCTGCTCTTCATGGGCTTTTCATGTTTATGAAAAAGTTCATCTACAAGTCTAGTGTGGTATCGGTGAAAAACAGAAAATATGTGTCCCTTGCATAGTCTAAAATTTCTTCTTGCCTACACTGATCAAAACTTCAGAGTCTTCTATTGGATGCATCTTCTCTATCTGCCTGGGACTACAGGTCACAGTGTTTAATTAGAATTAGCCTGAAAAATTTTAGTGTTCCTGATATCTTCAGAGCTTCTTTGTAATAAAATTATTGGTTTGTTCATTTTCTGAGTTATCAGATCAGCCTGTCATAGGAAACATTTACAAACCAAAACTTGCTATACAGTTCTGTGGGTTTGGTTTTTCTCTTTCAACATTTTTTTAAAAACTTGTTTCTTCATTACATGATTTAGTACAGGAATATTTGCGTGTATTTGCATTAAGACAAGCTTCTGTCCTTTTGATCACTTCCTTTATTACTGTTTTGAGGACATTACCTTCTGGGGTGAAACTAATCTTATGCTTACTGCATCATTACCTTTTGCAATTAAATTAGCTATTCTTTGCCATTTATAATCATTAGCTGAACCCAAGAGAAGCCCAACCAATCCACAAGGTCTGGATAGATGCTGCTGAAAAGATGACAGTCAATATTTCTGTATACTGAGTTTAGGTCAGATGTCACCAAATCACTAGAACTCTTCTTGGGTAAATGCAGTATGTTTGGAATAGCAGATGAGTGCAACAGAATGAAATGGAGATGTTAAGGCAAACAGAAAGATATCTATATTTTATGTTTTCACAAAGGGAAGGACTAGAGGTGTGGTTTTGATAATTTTTCTCCAAATGATTGATTAATTTCTTTTTAGATTTCTTATCCCTTCTGAATTCTTTAGCAGCATTTAATGTAGAGCTGATCATAATTCAGAGCAACAGAAAATATCTGGCAGTGGCATTCCAGGGAAGAAGGGAGGATACTGTGGGGAAGAGTTCACAGTCTATCTGGAGGAAAGCGACGTATACCAATAGAGGAGAATGTTAGAGAGAAGCATGAGATGCTTTCCTGGCAACATGGCTGCTGTTCCTCAAAGCAGGAAATACACTGTGGACTTTAGTGGAGAACTTTGTAGAGAGCCCTATAATTACTGCAACTAGAATAATCATTGACTAATTACAGGAGGGCAAAAACCTGTGTGAAGAAAAATGAAAGAAAAATTACTGGACAAAAAAAGAAGATAGAAGACCGGTTCTTAAGAGTCGGTGTTGGGGGTCAGCTTTCTTTAATGGTCTCCCTAACAATAGCATAGAAGTAGGAGTAAAATGAAAATTGCTCATGACAGAATCTTGGAATGCATCATCGGTATATTGGAGTAACAATACATTTCAGAGGATGAACTAGCTGCTCTTGATGTTTAGTTTAATTTTCATAGCATAAAGCAGAAAACTTGTGTTTAAGGAATACAATTTTTTTTTTCTTGCTGTGAGTTAGAGACTCAGACTTAAAAATATGTAGATTCTCTTACTTAGCTATTCTGAGAATGACTCTGAGCTGTCAGTATGATGGGGCTGTTCAAAAACGCAAATGATTGTAACATGGTTCAAGAGAAAAGAACAGTTATGAAATAACTTTGGGGTGTGGTTGCCTGCAGTGGGAGGACTTGAACTCGAAGAATTTAAAGTCCTCGTCAATATTTCTGTTCCTGTCAATAAAAAGCCAGAACAACACTCATCCCTTTTCAATGTGGATCTCAAAAGAGTTTTTCAGTGCCTTTGTTACTGTGTTTGACAAGGACATCTCCTTGAGACTGTCTTGAGGTCTCCACACAACCTCCACCATACACAGAATTGCAGTCCATTTCCAGTGGATGAGGGTGTGGTTAAAAGGCAGAAGAAAAAAGTAACGTGATTTACCTTAGTGAGTTTAGCAATCACTAATATGAGTTAACTTCTTTATTGATACTCTTTAGAAATTCTAAATATTTATGCACTTAATTGTTTAACGTCTTCACTATCATAGAATCACAGAATGGTTTGGGTTGGAGGGGACCTTACAGACCATCTAGTTCCAACCCCCCTGCCATGGCAGGGACACCTTCCACTAGACCGGGTTGCTCAAAGCCTCATCCAGCCTGGCCTTGAACACTTCCAGGGATGGGGCATCCACAGCTTCTCTGGGCAACCTGTTCCAGTGCCTCACCACCCTCTCCAGGAAAAACTTCTTCCTGATACCTAATCTAAATCTATCCCACAAGGCAGTCAAGATCGAATAAGCATGTGCAGTTTAAGTCTGTGAATAATTCATAAATGAAATAAAGGCTTGTTTAGTCATTTTGTCTAGAATGCATTTGAACATCCATCAGATTTTTGTTCTTAAAATATCTTGACTAAAATGTGAGTTCCTTAGTGTTCACTTTTTTGTGATTTTTTTTTTTTTGGGTGGGGTGATTTTTTTTTTCCTGCTATGGGATAAGAAAACTAAATTTGTTAAATGAACGTTTATTGGGAAAAAAAAAAGCTCTCAGAAGTAGAAGGGCAGGTTTTTTCATTTATCAAGTAAAAGATTTCTGTTTTTTTACATTTCAAATAATTTCTAAGTGTTTAAAAAGAAAATTAATATATGTAATTCACATTGTAAAAGCCATATTTTTCAGTAAATGAAATCAAAGTAATTTCCTTAAAGAAAATGCAGGATGTCAATGTATTGATAAATATTTAGTAGGTTGCTGCAATTGTTTATCCTTTACATAGGAATTTGCATCTTTTGCTCTCCCTATATAGTGACTGATAATCCTATTTTTTCAAATAAACAATTATGAAACTAAGGTACTAATCTATGTATTATTATTAGACACTACCAAGTATTTTTAGTTAGCAGAAAACTTCATATTTTTAACATTTTAATGCTAGCTTTTATTGTATTGTGACAATATTGCTTGACTGTCACTGGTAACCATTTCTGTGTACTAAGAAATCTAGCATTTACTTCAGCATGGTACTTTTTTTGTTAACCAGAGACATGTATGTGTTTCTAAATTAATCATATCAGATCATTAGGTCATTGTCTTAAGAGTTATTTTCTAATGGTTTGTGCTAAACCGAAGAAAAAACCTGATGTTCCAAATGCATGACAGACTTTTTAATTTTTACTCATTCTGCATTAAAATTAGCTCATACACTAACAAAAAGCCAATCAAATTGTGCCTATAAAAACTTGTTTATTAGGTGAAGATAGTGTAGTGAGGGAACAGAACTGCATGTTTCCAGGTACCATTTCATTCAAAAGTTTATGGAACTTTAAAACTGATCCTCTAGCATTGTTTTTCAGAATACCTTTCTGAGAGAAGAAAAGTACAGCCCCCTCAGCAGAAAAGTTAGTAACTTCTGCTATTCATCTGCTTCATGTTGCTCAGCTCTAAAAGTGGTTACACTGGTCCCCAGCTGAGTCCACCCAGCCTCAGTATTCTGCTGGAAACGGTTGCCATCGCAGACTTCAAGGAAAATTTCATTGGAGCAAATGCATTGGATACTTTGCCCTTAAAACTTGGTCTTCCACACTTTTCAGTGTAGTGACTTTTCTGTCTACTTGGTAACCCTCAATAGGTCTTTATTCCAAGTACTTTCCTATTCTGTTCTTGGACATAAGTAAGCTGTATGCATTCAAGTGTCCTTTGTCAAGGAGTTCATTGGGTGGAGAACCACTTTCTTGCTCACTGTTGAATTTGACTTCGACAGGCTTCATTTGAACCTCCCTAGAGGTTAATATATGTCAGGGGTTTTTTTTAAGGATACTGCCTGCCCTTTCTTCCTTGCAGGTCAGTCCTTATGAGATCAAAATTTGAAGCAAAGAAGGCATTTCAGTCCTTAACTGGTGTTGTGATGAAAATTATTTTGAATAATTATGTTTTCATTTGAATACACAGAAATTAGTCCTTCAAAGCTAGTACAGACTTTTTCATATTTCAGATACTTTACTTCTGTAAAACCCTTTCCTTCATTGAGGATAACAGCATAGCCAATCTTACTACACTGCTAGAGATTTTTTTTTTTTCCAGAACCTTTTATTTTGATTTCAGATCATTGCTTCCCTGCCATTCTAGTATATTATCATACTACCCTTTTATTATTGTACTTACGTCACCAGCTTTAGGCACTGATGCACTGAAGCACTTGTGATCAACATTAAATCCATCCATATGCTGATAACCATTTTACACCATTCAAGATTTCATTTTGTCCGGACTTTTTTTGAAGTCAATGGGTGATCCTTGCACTGTGGCAAAAAAATAGCTAGTTCTGTTGTCCAGAGGTAGACATACTTCCTTATTTTGTTTTCCTTACTATAAGTCACATCTTGTGTTTATAACATTTTGCTGTGAATTGTTTTCCTTCAGTATCCAGTGAAGCCCTCAGAACTGTGTGTCTCCATCTTCTAGGCAACACAAATCCAAATCCTTATGTCACATTAATGGCTAAAATAGGCCTTCATTTTGTTTTCCTTTCCTTCTGTAGTCAACTGTACTGCCTTTGAAGAAGTGGAAGGAAGAGTTCAAGATAAAATCCAAACAAAACCCTTGCCTAAGTGTTCATATATTTAGGTATGAATTAAAGCTAGAGGCTTTTTTTGAACCCACTTGTGATTAAGATCATCTACCTTTGAGATCATCTACCTTTGTTTTCTTTAAGCTCATTTCTTGGATTTCCAGGAAGGAGACTTGCAGACTTCGTTCTGTTACAGCAGGATTCCTTCTTCTGTATGAACATTTCCCTCTTTTACCTCTTAGCTGTCCTTTAAATCTATGGAATTCCTTTCTGTCTCATAGAAAACGTGCAAAAGAATATTGAACAAAACCTTATTCAGTAATGCCTGGGATTTCATTTTATTAACAGAAGTCTACCATGAGTTGATTGGGAACTTGGCTGTATACATAGTTGGACATCCAAACAAAGAAAGATAATTAATTCCTGCTAATACTTAAGGATTGATTGAGAAGGCAAGGATGACTTGGCCAATCTTACATGTATGTGATGGTTTTTTTTTCATATGTGTTATTAAAAAATAGTGCAGGATGTGTGAGTTGGCCTCAATGCTAAACTTCTGGCTGGAAAGAAAAATAAAAATACAAAGATCTTCTTCCCTGAGTCATGTTTTGGATACGTGATGCTTTCTGTCTCAGGAACAGATTTTGGAAATACCTGAGAAGAGATACTCTTTTTGTTGGCACCTTAGTATTGTCAGTGTTAACATCTGCTTCTCTGTTCTTCCCCCAGTCTGAGCTTTGTTTGGCCAAGACTGCTTCCTGAAGAAACTTAGGTTAATATTTGAAACGAGCCACTCAATCCCTCTATGTTCTCTTGTGCCTGGAATCTCGCATGTGTCAAAAAATGTACACCAGTTTATTATCCTGTGTCCAGTGTCCTGTGCAGTATTTTTCTTTATATTAATATACTGCAAGCTGTAGAAAGGCTTTAAGATGATATGTGTACTTGAGGAAGAATGGTACTAGCAGTGTTGTTTTGCTCATTAACACATGAACAATATATGAGTTTGCTTAATGAGAATCCTACTTTCTTTTAAAAAAAAAAAAAATCTGAAACATTTTTGTATGATACCACATCTTAGGTAGCATAGACGTCAGTGTTGGAAGAGTTGTAGTTGCTAGATTGTTAATCTGAATGCTAAATAAATATGCTATTTTTAGTGGAACTGTAATTGTAAAAAGCAAAATACAGAAATGGACATTGGTATCACACAAAAGTAGGTTTAAGCAGTCTTGTATTGACAGCGTACTCTTCTGTTTAAGTTAGTTAAAGTTTATGTAAACAGTATGTATGGTTTAGTGTGTTTTCATCCATCGAAGTGTAATATTTCTGCTGAGAAACCTTCTATTTAATAGAACATTTTATGACGTGTTAGGATTTCAGTAAAGGAGAAAAGTGATCGCACGAGATACAGTGCAGTAATCTGCTTTTCTGAAATCCCACTTAATGAAAGATTTTTGGAAATATGTACATCATGTGCAAGATGACCAAATAAGGCTGCTGTCTGCCTAGTTGCTTGAAATTTGTGTAAATTTGATATCTGATTAAAATGCAAATATTTTGGTTCCCCCGTCTTTAGATATTAAGCAATCAGTTTCATTAAGTGATTAGAAGTAAATGTAATTTGCAGTGCCTGCACCCCCCCCCCCCCCATGTTCACGTGGAATTGGAGGATAACTTCTCTACAACTTCAAAGAGAAAGTTGATTATTCTCTGCGTTCTTTTCATTAGCTATGGAGATGCAGAGCTGTCTGCTCAGTGAGCCTGTTTTTTGAACTGAAACCTTTGATTCTTGCAGATTGTAGATTATTGATCTAGTACCTGCTATTATTTTAATAGCTGTGTGTGGGATGACATGGGGACCTGGCCTTGTGGGGTTTTTGTGTGTTTTTCAATTTTTAAAGCTGCTATACGTTTATTGAAGAGTCTTTGACACTATAATTCTGTTCCTTCAGATAAACTTTGGCATTTTGACATGGAAAAAGAGTCTTGTAAGACTGTTCATTAAACTAAATAAGTGTCTGTATTTCCCTGAGGCAGCTGCAGATTTGTGCAGTGTGCTCATATTGTCTATCTACTGCTTCAGCAAATGATCTGAAACTGTTTAGTTTATAAAGTAGCCCAGTACTTCTAATATATCTGAATGCATCACAGTGCATACATAAGCCTTTCAAAGTACTACTTTGTGAGATACAAAATCAGCTTTAGCTTTTAATTTTTTTCCATTTTTATCCTAGGATTTTGGTAGTTTGTTATAATTGGAACAATGGGCTGCTGTGCTGGTTTTGTCTTCAGTGGAACTAATTTCATTTTAGTTTTATGTTCAGAAACTTTGACAGCTTGCTTTCATTATTTTAGCTCTCTAGTTCAGCAGCCTTGGAAGGGAAAGGACAATTAAAATTTACTTCTGGAAGATGGAGTCCACACCACAACTGTACACAGATTGCAACAGCCAATGATACCACTGTTCGAGGATGGGATACACGAAGCATGAGGTGATGAGAAAATCTAGCCTTTGTTTTTAAAAAAGACAATCTCCTTTGGAGATAACTTTTTTTTTTTAAGATTAAAAATATCTCAAAGCTATCACTTATAAAAGGAATGATTGAGCTTGCATAGCTGATATATTCAGAATTTAGTAAAGGGTTTTCTCTGGTTTTTTTCCCCCTCAGCTTCAATTCTGACTTGTATATTGAGTTGTATATATGTACTAGTCTCAGGATGATTTGTTCAATACGTAGGCATTACTGAATGAAGCTGTTCTGTAATTCAACCTGAAAATGATTTAACATCAGTCATGACTATGCTATGAACTGTCTCCATAGCATACTGTTTAAAGGTAACTTTAATCTCTGAAGGTAATTCACAGGGTAAGTTCACTCTTCACTTTTGTGATTGTAACAAATAGTCTACTGTACTGTATTAAAGATTGTAGCATGCTCGTTATATATGAAACTACTGAATCTATCAAAATCACTTCCAAATCAATTAAGGCTCTGAATATACCTAATAAGGTGTTTTCCCCCCTGCTCAGTTGTGATTTTGATAAGCAAAGGAGTGATGTTGTGCACATCTGTTGCCATGACTACTAAAGCCTGTGCAAGCTTTTTTAAGATACGCTTTATCCCCTTAGCACATAGTAATTTATCACTAAACCGAGAAGACTGATGTCTTGTAATAACTTTTGTTGCCTTAAAGGGGGATGACTTTAAATTTAGTTCTATGGTTCCTGCCAGCTCAGGGGTGTAGCAATAAATCCCCATGTTTGCCAGCCTTGTGTGTTTTTGCCAAAAAGCTTAATTTAATAAACAAAAGCTAAAAATACAATTATAATAATTAAAGTCACTTCCTATATGCTTGTCATCAGGTTAGAATGTCCTGTTCTTTACCCTGTAAAAGGAATATATACAAATATAACTTCATATATGTGTGTATACTTTCATTTATCAAGACTATTTTAAATGAAGCATACAAAAAAGGAAAGAAAGGTTAAAGGAGAGAGGTTTTTGCATTTTGTGGATTTTAGGTTGTTTTTTTGTGATATTTCTGTAATCATCCTGTTTTTAATGTATGGTAGGAAGACCTTAAGATTAAAGCCTGTCTTCTAAGTAGAAAATGTTAAATATTGTGAAGTCTGCTTCATGCTCTGTCTCATTAGAAAAAGCATCTCTATCTTGTGTTAAATGAATACTTTGAGTGACTTTCATAAAAGATAGATGGTCTAGATTTTAGCAAGATACTCAATGAAAGGATAGCTTGGTTAACAAAAACAAACCCCACAATTCTAATTACTTTAAGTGAAGCTCAGATTAAATAGTCCTTGAACCAATTTACAAGTACTAGGCTGTGCCAAAGAGCTGTTTGCAATGTACTTGAAAAATGTGTGCAAGAATAAGTCTCATCTGCAATTACACTGTAATATGTCTAGAATGATGTGAATATTTGATAATGACTAGTTAGGCTAGAGGTGAGGGTCTAAAGTCAGGGTGGTATAAACTGTGACAGTGTAAGAAGCAAAAAACTGGGAGGGGTGGGAATCAAGGACAGAAAACTGCTATACTCGCAAAGAATAAGAGAGGAGAGATACTAAAAGTAGTAGCTAGAGTAACTACTTCCACAGAGTGTGATTATGATAGCTGTGAGATAGAGTGAATGAATTTGGACACAGCAAACAAAGGAGAGGGTGGTGGGAGGGATGGTTGGTGGGAAGATTCCTAGACTACACTAGGAAGCAGTCTTAATCAGCACAGAGCTTGTGAAGTAGAGGAGACAGTAGGCTGAATGGATTTAGAGAGAGAATTGTATCAGTAAAACTCAGACTCCAAGAAAATAAATTCTAAAAAATACAGAAGAAAAACAATATCAGAAGGTAGAGCGAGGAGCTGGAGAAAATGCTCATGTGGTCTGGCCTCAGTCTGTGATCTCAGTGGGAACTACAGTGTAGGTAATATTGCTGTAGATAGGATGATAGTGAAAGCAAAGAATATTCTTATTTGGGAAGAAAAGGGATGAAGTGGTCAGAATAGTAGCTAAGCTGGGATAAAGGCTTTCATGGAAAGCACTGCTGAATGTACAGTAGATGGTACTTCTTTTTAAGCCCTTACACACATCTCCATAAGAAGTGCAAGAAAGACCTGAAAGGTGTAATAAAGGAGGAGTGTTATTGCTAAAGTGTGTTTGACACTTAAAAATTTTCCCATAAAGTTGGGAAAAATTAAGAGGAAACATTGTATTCAGATCCCCAAATACCTGGTAGAAAGGCATGTTTGAAAGGTATCCTTAATCTCTCAAACTCTGAGAAGAGTGGTGACGTTGAGTATCTAAGTAATACCCTTTATCCTGAGTGACTGCCATAGCTGTCAGGATAGGGCTTAGTATAGGTCTGGTATACTTTGAACCTCTCCTTACTACTTCGCTTTGCAGTAGTAGTTAGGTATTAACAGCAGGAAACTTCCCTACCTGGTCTTGGCGGAAGAATGTATATGAAGCATAGGAAATACAGAGTTTGGTCAGTCTGTGTTTTCTGGAGAGATTTTTCTTTTAAAAGAAGACAAAAGCTCACAAAGTATTGACAAGTTCTAGTGAAGATTGTAAGAGACTGTCAGTTCTTAATCGGAACTTTGGTAGATGGTGGCTCTGAGAATGGACGTGGGAACAGATATAGCCTTTTCATAAAACTGGTAATGCAGTAGCAGAAACAAACAAAAATCCCAAGTTCAAGAGGAAAGTAGGGAGACAAACTGATGGTATGTGATGTTTTGAATAAGGATGCTAGGTTGTTCCAGTACTACAGATGTTTTCTGAAGTGGTCCAGGTGGATGAGTGTGCGCATGGCTGAGGGCCAAAGCTGAATTTTGATGATAAATGCCAGAGCTCAATAAGGTAAGTTCAAAATAGAGCCATAATAAAAAGCTGGTTTTCATACCTGTTGCCTCCTTTACATCTCAGCTTTTCATATAGGGGGAACTAGATATCCTAAATACAGAACTGTATAAGTGCTTAGGGGTGGCTCTTATCTGAAAATATTGACCTTTCATAACAGTTGTTAAAGAGCTGTGCTAGAATCATCTGGAACTACTGTTTCTTTTAGTTCCAGATGATCCTAATGCAAACAAGGAAAGAGCAAAGCTTCAGAGCAAGCTGAGAAATCTATAAAAGTCACTGTTGTTAACAGCTGGGATTTCCCTAAACTATGCACTAGCAATGGGAACTCTAGGTCTGCGGGTGCTAAGGGGATTATGCAAGTTTCCAGGGAAACAGATTCCTGTCAGTGGAGTGCAGTTAGCTTTTTATAGACCGTTTAATTTTTTTAATGTGTTTTACAGGCAGATATATTGCATAGAAAATGCACATGGACAGCTGGTACGAGACCTAGACTTTAATCCCAATAAACAGTACTACCTGGCTAGCTGTGGAGATGACTGCAAGGTGAAATTCTGGGACACAAGAAATGTCACTGAACCGGTGAAGACGCTAGAGGAGCATTCCCACTGGTAGAACAAATTATCTGCATGCTGTTTTGTGGGCGGATGGCTTATGTAATTTATTCAGCTAATTATTTTACTGTTTAGGAACAATACAAACTAACTATGTTTGTGCTATTGTGAATAATCATTTTCTGCACGGAGGAAAGGTTTCAATATGTGGATGTTCCTTATGTGATTGTAAATTAAGAGCTTAGACAACATTAGTCTAATTGGCAAGAAACTGTTGTTGCCATTGTTGGGAGATAGGGTGTACCTTTGAGAAGCACAACATGGAACTTGGCTTGTAGGGGCCAGCTGGGACGGAGATGTGCCTTCCCAAATTGAGCCTGATCCTCCTGCACCTGACGTGCGGAAAAGCCCTTGAGCTGTTGTGGTTGCAGCAGCTGCTGTCTGCCCTTCTGTTGTCGAAGGGTGGAAATGCTCGATAATTCAGCCCCACTTGTTTCACACTCTTCACAGCCCTTAAACCAGAATATGCAAGTGAGTCATTTTATTCTCTGAGATAATATTAAAGTCTTATCTGCTGCTCTGGTGTGTGGCTGGAGCAAGGAGAGAATCTTGTCTGACGTTTGCGGACTCCAATGGTTACGAAAAGATGAGCGGATTGTATTTTATAAAATTTGGGTTGGAGTAATTCTTGCAAAATAAATCTGGACCCTGAAGCTACTTTGAGGGAATGAAGATGTGAATTAACAGAAGCAGCATTTATACTTTTTTTCGTAGAAGATTAAAAGAAAAAGAATAAAACAAGAACCATAAGACTTTTTGTATTAACTTGATATGTAAAACATGAAAATTGAAGAGAAATATAATCCTACTTTTGTTTTAGGGTCTATTTTAAACTTTAAGAATGTTGTGAGATTTTTTGTTTAACAGGTTATTTCTGATCTGTATTTTGCTTTGGGGAAATTTTTATATTTAGAACTTAAATCTTTATCTGACTTACTGAACACTGAATCGGCATGTAGCCTCAAGGAGTGATAACACAGTGTGTTTTGTTATTTGGATTTTTTTTTTCTCCCCAAAATTTATTTGTTGAATTTTAAAGACACTTCGTAGAAAACAGATGACATGGAAGCTTAAAAGCCAAATGAAGATGGCAAAAAACAGACTTTAGAATGAGGCATGTCACTTCTATGCGTACTTACAACACCTAAGTCAAAGATCCAATTTTTAGTGCTGTTTAAAAAAAAAAAAAAAATTGATGCACTGCCTGATAACAATAGCCTCTTGTTCTTTGTTTTCAATTTTTAGGGTCTGGAATGTCAGATACAATCATTCTCATGATCAGCTGATCCTTACAGGAAGCAGTGATAGCAGAGTTATCCTGTCTAATATGGTATCAATTTCTTCTGAACCATTTGGGCATATGGTAGATGATGATGATCTAAGTGACCAAGAGGACCAGCATCAAGAAGAGAAGTATGAAGTTTCCTGAGTTTTATGCAGATGCTTAGTTTGTTTTTTTCATTGTAATGGTTAACATGCTATTTTTTTTGCTGACTAGGATTTTTGTATACAGGCCTTTCAGGTAAGTAGTTTTAATTCCTCACTCATCCCTCTTTACTCAGTCTTGGGTGGACTACACTCTTTAAATCTGATTGGCATGGTTGCTCTATGTTCACTGGTAGGAAGGGGGATGGTGATGCTGATGACCAGTCCTAAAGTCCACTGGATCATTTTAAGGGAGCTCTGGATCAAGTCAAGCACATAAAATGATCTGGGTTAAGTGAGAGCTGAAAACCTGCTTTTTTGCATTTTCTGTGTATGTGTTCCAACCTTTAGGAAATGTTACCAGTGCAATCGTGAGCTTTTGCACAGGTGGGAGAAAGGAAGTATAAATCCATTCATTTTTGTAAATTTAGCTCTTGATATTGCTGACTGCTCTAGAAACCAGGAATTCATTAGATGTACTTCAGTAAAACAGAATTTTGGTTTTGACTCTCTCACAAGAGACTAATGCATGTTATTGCAAGCATTTGTAAACACCATTCCACTTGAGTGTGTGAAGAATTGTGTATTTCTCATGTGAATTTTGGAGGTATGGGTTTTTTGGTAGAGAGTTAACTGAAATGCTGAAATTCTAGTTTTTCATCCTCTATTTTTGTCTGCTTTTAAATTTTGTGAAGAAAATCAGCTCTATCCTGACTAAAACCAGCACAATAGTGCAATATATGATGGTTGTTCTCCTCTCTGTACTTCTTTATGAATTTATATATACATACATACATATATATATATATATGTATGTATGTATATTGAGAGTTGTGTCATTCTAGTGTGGGCTGAGGCTTTCTAATTTTGTGACTAGCTTACATGGTGATCTCCAGCCGACTCTTCCTTTACAAAGTGAGAATAATGATACTCAAACTCATGTAAAATATTGAGTCCAACAGGCTTTAGTCTGTATTTTTCTGTTCTTTGCAACTGTGAATACCCATGTTCTAGATGTCTGTACTGAGCAATTGTTTTGTTACCTGTGTTATTTTATTTTAAAGCACAAAGCTGTCTGTAGTGAAATAGGCAGAACTGTCTTTTTCCATGAATAGTCAGGTGGGATGAGGAACAAGGAAACTACAAATAAGAATAGGGTAATTTTTATCCTGTTTCAGAGGACATCTGGTTTGCTATTAAATAGCACACAAATCTTGAAAAAGAAAATGGGTGTTTTTGGATGTATTTTGAAATGCACCAGAAGAGCAGGTGTCTGTACAACTGTTATCTCCAGACAGTCACCTTCTGACTGAGTGACCAGATCTCTCAAAATGAGCTTGAAATATCAAGTTGAAAGAAGGAAAAAGGCTCTTTCCTCATAGGCTACCTATTTTTGGTGTTCTGAATAAAATAAGTTGTAAAAATACTCCTTGGATTAAATATAAAAATTAAGCTTTTTTTAAAAATTTCTAGTTAGCAAAAATACCCATATTTTAAAAAAATTGATTTGCCCTTCTATTCTATACAGCTAAGATTTCTGAGATCTTTGCCTCGTGTTAATTTTTCATATATTTTGACAGTAAACTGTCTAATTATTATTGTATTTCTTGTCTGGTGACAAAAGCATGTAAAATGTCAGTCAACACTTCATTGTTCAACCATTAAGAACTGTGCATGAGCCTATGCACTTATTTATTCTTGCCAGATTTGCTGTAGTAACTGCCTACATTTTAAGGTTCACAACTGAAAAATAATTATTTGGGGATACCCTTTTCTTAAATTATTTTTAAGAAAAGAATACAGATTCACTAAGTCATAAATAAACAACAAACCCAAAGTTGCGGTATTCTATTGTTACTAAGGAATTACTCTTTGAGGTTTCCCCTTTGGGTGTTTGTCCATGTATGTGTTGACATCTTGGGACTTTATATGTTGACATCTTAGAGATCAGAACACACTTGCATAAGCAATGTAACTAGGACAATTGCATGAGGATCTCTTGTTGCAGTCGAGTAACCTTCAGTTTCTTTTAACTGCTGATTCAGATCGAAGCAACTAATTTGCTGTCTCTTCCCTACTTTTTAACTGCTGTTGTTGATTCTCTCATAAATCAAAAAATGTAAGAGCAGCCTCCCCGTATCATATCAAAGGTCTCCCTAGCCTGTATCATGTCGCTGATAGTGGCGAAGATTACAAAAACAGGAAAAGGAGATGATAATTCCCCTGGGTATGCTTCTAGCCTCTGACTATTTGCAGCTCAAGGACCTTCATTGCCTTTTGAATCATCTTTGGAGACTTCTGATTCTTCCCTTTAGGATTTTCTTTTGCCATCAGCCATATTCTTGGGTTTCTCTCTTCTTAATCTGTTTTTGTTCCAAAACATGTTAGCTCTGCACGCACTGCCTTTCTGCAATAAGTCTAGGAGAAATACGCCAACCACATTTGTTTTCTTGCACTGAATGTGGAAAGGCCTCAGTGCTTTCTGCCTGGGAAGCCCAAAGCCTCTGCCTAAAATAAGTATTCTAAAAAGAGCACTGAGCTGGCCACAGAGAGGAGGTATTGGCATGTGGCCAGAGAAGAGTTATGGTGTACTCTGGTCAAGTCCCTGATCTGGATAATTTAATGAACAATTAAATAATGGGAAGAAGAAAAGAAAAGTCTGAAAAATAGAGAAGCAAATGCTGTACTCCTAGCTTAATTTCTAGCACCTTGATCCAGAAGTAGAAAAAAGTGTACAAAACAAATGAAAATAGAAGAAATGAGGTAGGTATCTGGGGTGCATTTAGTTTTCATGCCCAAAACAAAGCTGGTGTGCCTGGATAAGAACATAGGAAGATTTTGATGCCTTAGTTTGAACAAGATGTTTGAAACATGAGGTCATTCAACATCTGTGGATGCAAGCAATTAAGGCTACTTTCTTCTTGGCCTCTCTTTCTTCAATGGCTTTGCACTCTGGTGTTGCAAGGACTTCCTCCGTGCAGCACCAAACTTGCCTTAATTCCATAGCTCCTAGAGTTGCCTGTCAGTTCCCTTTTGGATATCTGCAGAGCACTGAGTACTGTCTTCCTCCGAAGGGAGGTGGTGACTGTCTTATATCCTTTCTTCATTCTTTGGTCAACCAAAATCCTTATGTTAGTGAGTCTATATTTGGTTGTATTAAACTAGTTGGGCAGTAATTTTAATTGTATATTGTTGTTTATAACAATAAACAAAAACTATTAGTTCTTGCAGTTCAGTGTGACATAAGAAGGATATCAGCTGGTTGTAGTGAGTTCAGGGAACGCCACGAAGGTGATCAGAGGGCTAGAGCACCTTTCCTGTGATGAAGGGCTGAGAGAGTTGGGCTTGTTCAGCCTGGAGAAGAGGAGGCTCCAGGGAGACCTTATTGCAGCCTTCCAGTACCTGAAGGGGCTACAAGGAAGCTGGGGGGGACTTTTTACAAGGGCCTGTAGTGACAGGACAAGGGGTAATGGGTTTAAAATTGAAAGTGGGGAGGTTTAGATATCGGGAAGAAATTCTTCCCGGAGAGGGTGGTGAGGCACAGGAACAGGTTGCCCAGAGAAGCTGTGGATGCCCCATCCCTGGATGTCTTCAAGGCCAGGCTGGATGAGGCTTTGAGCAACCTAGTCTAGTGCAAGGTGTCCCTACCCATGGCAGGGGGGTTGGAACTAGATGATCTTTAAGGTCCCTTCCAACCCCAAACCATTCTATGATTCTGTAATTTTATGATCTTTACTTGCTAATCAGGATTCCTATTCTTTCAGTGTACATGCTGCATCTACAGTAGTGTTTTTCTTTCTTCATGGCTTCTATGCCCAGAACTTTGTGTCAAGACTCAGTTGATAATGGAAGACTTGCTTTTTAAGATGAAAAGCTGTTTCTGTATCTATATCAATGAAAAGATTTATATGGTCAATAGCATTTTGAGCTTTTACATCAGTTCTGAAAAGGAAGCCATCCTTAAATTTCAATTTTGCAGAATGAGCTACCCAGCTCCCTTAGCTCTCTTTGGAGTTTACAGGCTTAAGATGTCTGCTGTGTTTTTACTGGCAGAACGGATTACTAAGGTCAGTAATGCTGCCTTCTGCCTTATGATGCATTTTTTGACAACTTGTCCTAAGCTTATCTTTGTCATGTCTTGAAGATTGTACCAGAAATTCACATTAGGAAATACATTAGTTTAGTGTTTTTCCTGAAGTCTTATGTTTCCATCTTTTTCACCATAGATATTAGATACGCTGTCCTTTGATAGAAACAGAACAAGATCTAACACAAGCACTTCTCATCAATTTGCATTTAAAGCTGAGATATGTAAAGGATTGGTCATTCCAGTACTGTATTTCATTAAGATAGGGAAGGTGTTAGTGAGATTTTCAGTGTAGGAACATCTTTAGCAATCATAGACCAGAGTAAAAATGGTGGCTGGCCCCTCTGAACAAAATTATTTTCAAAATTCCACCCAAAAGGGGTTGTGGTTTCTACTTTTTGTGATAGAAATGTGGTTTGGAGCGTTTTGCATTGTAAATCGTGTGGTTTCTTGATAATACCTATGAACTGTGTGATCTAACATAACATCTTTGTGTACAGATTCGTGACTTTAGGAGTGTGAATTGTCAGCACTAATATTTTGAAAACTATTTGCCAAATACTCATTATAAGGCAGGGTTTCAGGGTATTTTCACACAGCTGCCAGTAATGTTAATTTTGATGATATTTTGCTTGTGGTATTTATGTCAGAGAAATCTAGAAGTCTTAGGATTATGCTATGGTATCAGCCAAGAGACTTAATTAAAACAGCTTAGTTAGTTTCTATTTTGGGGAATGTCAGTATTCAGGACTTTACTTGGTTGGGTGTGTAAGAAGCTGGGCCAAATCTAGTGCAGCAGCACTTTCTGATTGCTGGACTATTTTGCTTTAAAAATGTGTTTTTTCCATACTATTTCTTTCTTTAACCCTCATCAGCAGATATACCCTCCTAAGTTTATTTTGTGTGTTAGGACAAGTATGAAACCTTTTATATTAAAATACGCATTTTATGTTGCTAAAGATGGCATTTTTCTGTTGAAACACTTTAGAATGCTGGGTTTTGACTAAAAAAAAAAAGATAACGCTTACAATTCTATGAATGGCCAATTACTCCATATAAAAATTGTGTTCCAGTATAAACATACTTGACTTCTGTTTTCCTTGCAAGAATGAAAAAGGAAGTGGTATGTTGTGTAAGCTTACCAGAAACAACAAAACCTTACAGATACTAAGTTTTCTCCTACAGTTAAAGGGAAAGGGCATCCACGGAGCTTATTCTGGAATCCAATGCCATCGTTTTCAGGATTCCTTTTGGATGCTGCAGTACATGTTGCTGCTCTACTGAACCACATCTATTTCATAGTAATGTTTAGATTAAAGAGGATTTAATTTTGACTGTGATAAGGAATTAATGATTTTTAGTGACTCTGAAAAACATTTTATTGAACATTGTGGTGACAAAACAGAATCACAAGCACTGCAAACTTAAGTGGTTGTTAGCATGAGAAGTAATTGGAAATAACAGCTCTCTACATGAAAACAATTATCCAAGGCTTAACAGGCTTCTCTCTCAAGTCTGTAACACAATTAACCTTGAAGTTATCTAGTAAAATGAGAGCTCTTCTTTCGTAGGAGAAACTGGTAGGGGTTGTGCTGTGTGAATAAGACTACAAAGAGAAAGCAGTCTAGTTTCAGGTCTGTATGGCACAGGTCTTAAAATTATGCAGGATGTAGGTAGAGATTACACATTTCTTACGATGAGTTCATGATGACATAAGAATTTGATGCCTTGTCAGTTGACAAGATGCAATAACATAAGGAGAGAAAAAGGTACTTTGGTCAGAAAAATTCTTTAAAACAGTATAGGAAAACAAGAAAGTAAAGGAACTTCTTAAGGGGAAGGGAGATCTGGGACAACAAAAATAGTTTACTAAGTGATTATGATGTGATTTTCAGTATGCTTATCAAATCTAGTCAGAATATGCTTATCAGTCGAGTCAGACTGCTCTATCAAGGGATCAGTAGGCCAAGCACCTACACCTGTGGTACACTACCTATAGCATAGCAACTACATTTTTACACCCAAACCTGCAGCTTTTATGTGAAAACAGAAACCTCTGTGTTTTGGCAACATCCTGTATTATACTTATTAAAGTGGTATAGGAGAAAGTTTACTTCATAGCCATCTCTGTACAGATACTCTTTCTATTTCTGAACTTCTGTAATGGGGAAGAAATTTAAGGTCCTGAACTCTGTTCCAAAACCTGCCAAAGATCTTCTGACTATCCCAGTATCCAGTCCACTTTGAATGCTCTCCTCTGTTGGATGCTGTGTCCGGTGTTACGCATCTAACCTAAGAAGGTACATAACCCAGGCATTGTCATCAGGAGTTGATAACGATGAAATGGAAAGTTTCTGAGATAAGAACAATATAGCAGTATTCTTTTAATCATTGCTACATTATGAATAGAGTATTAGAAAAAATATACACGTCAGTGCTCTGACATGTTAGGCTCTGAAATTACCTGCTGTATGTTAAGAAGAAATAAGATTGTAGCAAGTGATAGAAACAGAAGGATAATTAAAATATCTAAATAGACAAAAACATCTTAAGATATTTTGTATGTGTTCCATTAATATGTGCTGTGACAAGAATCCTCTCTTTTCATAGCCTTACCCTATGAAAAGTACCTATTTTTAAAAGGTACTTGTTACCTTGCTTAAATAAAGTCAGCACTGTAGCTGTTATGTCTGTAATTTCTTGCATTAGCCAAATTATATTTAATATTTGGGAAGTTAGGAGAGTCTGAGCTGATTCTTTAATAAATAAAAATCTGTAAAAGCCATATAAAATTTTATTGAGAGTACATAGTTTGTTGTGGTACTCAGATACTTACAATTTTTCAGTTTCTTAGATTCATATAGATTCAAAAATGGTATCCTCAGCCTATTATTGGATTACCAAAAAAGCATGCACGTAGCCAAAATGCAAACAAATCTGAGATGTTTCCTTGGAAGTCTCTTAGCATGAGATAAAGCGGCTTGTCTCCGGAGATCATCCCTGTTGTGAGGGAAAGAAACCCCACAACACACAACCTTTCTCCTCTAGGTTTTTAATTATTTTTGAATGGTCTTTCACATACATGAAACAAAATGTACTCTTTATTCCACTAGCAGAATCCTTCTGGGCTCATTACCCATTACATAATTTAAAGGCTAATCTGTTTTCATTCATAGTGTTTGTAAAGGATGCTCACGGGCAGTTTCTTTTGGATGTTTGTATTGTTCCTGAGACACATGTCATTCTGAGATTATTTATTTTCCCATCTTGATTATCTTGTGTAGTATGTAGATCTTTTACCCCAAGTGATCGCTTCCATAAGGGTTTCCTCAATTCTCAGTAACTGTCTCAAGGCTATGCCATTCTTATGCACAAGTAGTCAATCATAGATCTGTGTTATTTAAAACAAAACAGAGACAGAAAGCTGAACTTGTGGTCTGAAGAACCACATGGAAATTAGCATGCTTCCTTGTTCTGGGAAGGCACAAAATTGCTTTCATACCCAAGAAGAAATTCAGTGCATAGACAATAATAAAAGACAGTTAAAAATCATAGTTATAAATGGAAATGCCAAACAGATGTTCATCTACAGGCTTCTTTCCTGAACACTCATTCCCCTATGACTTCTGTAAATTAAATTAGATGAACTGTGTTATTTAAATGAAACACTGAAACAACTCTGAGCATACAGAAAATAGTATAATATAAAAGCTTATTTGTCCTTGTTTATCCAACCTTTGGTTAACTGAGACTCCTGGTTAACTGAAAGTCGGTCGTGTCCCCTGACAGCCATGTGCACTGTGCATTACTCCCCTGCTTATCCGGAGAGACGTCTGAAACCTTCAGAATAATGGAGTTGTGGGTAAGTGGGTGAGCACTGCGTGAAGCACATTGCTGTCTGGGGACATGACCAACTTTCACTTAACCAGGCATGTCAGTTAGCAGGAAGTTAGAAAAACCCATTGCAGGAGATGAAGTGTCTGTGTGTGTTTATTAGCTCGCTGCTGTTAGATGGTTTGTATCAAAGTACGTGTTCAGGAGAACTGCAGAAGCAGCCTGCTCTTTGCAATTAACCAGGGGCTGCGTGTTGTTTGTGCCATGGCCTTTTTTGTTAGCTGACCTTAAATACAGCATAAGCCAATGATGGAAGTCCTTGAAACTAAATATCTGAAGCTATTCCTCAGTATCAGACGGCTTTTGGTTTATTCATTAAATTCAATTGAATTTTAATTGCGATGTTAGATGCACAGCTGGTTCGGCTGGCTAGGTGGAGCAGCGATATCCCGCAAGCGATTGAAGTGTGTTACTGTACGCTTTGTGATCGTAGAGACACGTGCTTTCAGAGAGCCCCGGTAAAGGGCAAAGATGGCCAGTAACAACCCTTCATTTCTGTAGTAGCGGTGTCTGAAATGATTGAGTGGCATTCGTAGTGCTCTTTGGCTCTGCTTTCTGTTAGGAAGATTGCAGCTGTAATGCAAGGCTGTTTCTGGGAGGCAGGGGAGTGCTTCTGAAAGGCTGACTGATTCCTGTCAGGCAGAGGTGATCCTTTGTGGGTGAAGGAGCTCTTAGGTCATCCTCTGAAAACTCACCTACCCTGTAGCTATACAGTAATCTGCTGTGGTGTTGCTGTGAGAGGAGGGATTGGCTCTGAGTGGAGGGAAGAAGGGCTGTTCTCAGCGAGCAGAGCACAGTCGATGACTCTTGGGTGGATTGGACTTCAGAGAATAACCTAAATCTGTTCTTAAATATTTGCAATGCAAAGGAGAATCTGCTGTCCCTCGCGATGGAGGTGACCAGGAGCTTTGGGTATTGCAGTAAGAGGTGAGGTGAACAATAATAGATGAGAATCCAGTGTTGGTGTAACTCCAGGAATGAGACCTAAAAATTTAGATGTTCAGAGTGGTGCCTTCATCTTCCTTCCACTGCCCCAGGGACAATGGGTCCAAGATGGCAGTACAGGACTGTGATGTTAAGGTTTGCAATGTCTTATCTGCCTACACATCTCTGATAAGATTATACGTTATTTTAAGAATTCAATTAAAAACAAAGGGGAAAAGGAAGGGGTGGAGCATTGTGAAAGAAAAGCGGTTGATGAAAATGTGTGTTTAAGTGTGTTTAGATCATACCCTGTAGTTCAACTTGCTTTAGAGAGAAATGCTTAGTGTAGGTTCCGAGAGGCACTGAAGTTGAGAGTAACAGGTACTTTGTCCTCACAGATGGGGTCCTTAACACTGACTTGACTCTGTTGTGCTATCTGAAACACAGGTACCTGCAGACATCTGGTATAAAACATTTCCTTAGTGCCTACTACTGCATTCTTATACTTTAAACAAGAGGTTGTGTATCTAGATGTTAGTGACACTTACTACTGCCTTTTAGGTCAGGTGCGTTCACAGATACTTACTATTTTTCTTTTCTTCTTCAATTTTAGGATTAAAGAGCCCCTTCAGGACAGTGTAATAGCCACATATGAAGAACACGAAGATAGTGTATATGCAGTTGAATGGTCCTCAGCAGACCCATGGCTATTTGCCTCTTTAAGTTATGATGGGAGACTTGTTATTAACAGGGTTCCTAGAGCTCTTAAATATCACATACTGTTATAATTTGTTTGGATTATGGTGAGGTTGTTATCTTGATGTACGCAATTGGTAGGTATCGTTTAGGTTTTTTTCAGGATCTGTTTTTATTAAGTATAAATGTTAAAATTTTGTTAATAACATCTGTACTAATATAGACACTTTTAATTTGTCTTTTGTGTTTATCTTGGGAAACTGTGATGCATTTTTTGAAGGCTGTGCTAGTTAGATTTTTTAAATTTTTTTTTTATTCAGGTGCTAATCACTTTGTGGATTATAAGTTTTCTGGAGATACTGGATACTTCCCATACTATTACTTTATAATTTCACCTTTATTGCACATGTAATGGATTACAGAGGTGTTATGCTGATATAAAACTGGGACAATGTAGGGTGCATGCACAAGTAGTGATCTACTCGTTTACAAGAATAATACTTCATCTTTCTAATACAAGCAGCCTTCTGCTCTTACCTTCGGCTGCATTCTGCTAACTATTCTGGTCATTCTTCAGTGTTTGTAGATACAGTTGGGAATGGTCTTAAAATGCTTTCTTAATTCAGTTCAATATTTTAAACAGTTTTTCTCCCATTTTGCAGATCCTGTGTTCATGTTAATCATGAAAGTGAAACCTTAAAAATATATTTTTTATTTAAGCCTTGTGATAGCATGAACAAAGTACCACCCCATAATTGGCAAACTAAATGCATTTTTGAGCTGTGTGTTATTTGAAACAGTATTAGTCTTTACCAAAACCTTATATTCTTATGTCATGATTATCCCATGTTTATAGAACTTAAGTTGTGCTGTAGTATGTTTTGAGAGACTCTGGAGCTATTCCATTGTTAACCTGAGAAAAATGTCTTTAATATTTGCAAGTAGTGTCTCTCCTCCTTTTGGCTCTGTGCCATTCTGCAGTATGCTGATGTGATGTAGCAGGCTTTCGACTAAGCACAAAACATCTTTTGCTGTCTCCTGCTCTTCGCAATACCTGACCTAGGCATTGGTGACTCGCATGTTACAAGAGAGAGAGAACAGGCAGATGCTGCCCTGCAGGAGAATGCACAGAAAACTTGAGAGGCATGGTGAAGCATGCCTGTATGTACTGACACCCCCCTTCCGCTTGCCTGGCTTGCTGTTAAGATGAAAATTCTGCTGCCTATTCTTTGTGTACTCAGACTAACTGCAGCAGTAATTAGTCCCTGTGGCCTTTTCATCGCTATTATTTCCCATTGACTTCAGAACCTGGGTAGGTGCGATGGTTGGGGCAGCATTGTGTTAAGACCACTCTGAAGAAATGGCAAGAACACGGGATGGAAAGATCAATACCAGCCTCTTCCCGTGATTCCTCCTGTTGCTATGGCAACCATTGGTGTTAGTGTTGAGGGACAGCCTGCTGCTCACCTCTGCTTGTCCTTACCCACTCTTGGATCGAAACATGTCCAAATGTGATTTGTTGTGTATACACAGCTGCTTCTGTGAGAAGTCGTGCTTTGAGAGCGTGACTGATTGCTATAGGCCAAAACATCCAGAAAAGATGAAAGTTGAAATTCTATTTCTGGCTTTCTTAAAGAGCTTGTTTGGAAGAATTCATAGAGGTGAAGTAATCTAATTAAATCATCTGTAATATTGTTTGTATCTGTGTTATGATGCTGCCTGTCTGCTCCAGAGTGAATGCTTCATTGGAAATTCTGATGGTCTCATTTTCTGTGTTAAGACTTTAAACTCGAGCTATTTCAAATTGTCTCAATCTGTAATTAGGCATGAGCTATTCACCTGTATATTGTAAGAAAAATTATGTTTCCAAATCACTAGTTCTTCAGTTGACTGAATATGAAAATCCTTGGTTACGCTGCAGCTTTGTGTGTGAAGCTTTCGATCTTCAGACCCAGAACCTTAACGGGTTTTTTCTTTCCCCACACACACAACCCCTGCAGTATATATTTAGTATGCAGCAGAACTCTTTAAACTTTCTTCCCATTAGCAATAAAGGTCTAATGAAACTTTATTGCCTGCTAATGTATATGGCTTGCAGCATGAAGGTGACGGGAAATTGCGTAAGAGTACGTGGGATTCAATTTGATTTTTAACGTGTAATAAATGCGGGACAGATTTCAGACTACTTTTGATGTGGCTGTGTTTCCTTTAGTACTGTAAGATTATACAAGCTGGAAAGCTCTAAACAAATAATACCAAGAAAAATTCTCTTTTGTTTTGGTTTTGTTAAACGTGTCTATCATCACGCAATAAGGAAGAAGAGGGGATGAACACTAGGAAGGAAGGGAGTAGCAGGTTGAATTTGAACGAAACGCATTACAGCAGAATCAAGAGAGCAGGAAGGGTCAAGTTTTAATCATTTTCAGCTGTCTGTAAAGCAGGATCTAAGCTACATATACAGCACTGGCAGCAATATGGAAATGACCTTCAGGAAGGGAAGGCTTTTGAAAAGGTTCCATCCCAGGCTGTTAGAGAAAGCAGGCTGCTGTAGGGTGAGAGGAATGGTTCAAAGATGGTGAAATAACTGATTTAAAGATAGGAAATGTGATGATTTATTCCTGCTTCCTATTTCATGGCAAAAAGAAATTACTAGTGAGGCCTTGCAAGGATCTGTGCCTTGCCCAGTGCTTTACGGTGTACTCATGACCCCTTTGGAAAAAGGGCTGCGGAGAAATACGGCAAAGTTTGCAGATGCTGTTCAGAGTTGTAAAGATGACTGACTGAAGAATTATGGAAGGGCCTGACCTCATGGAGTGGCTGGATGATAAAACGGCAGATGAAATTCAACGCAGGAAATGTGAAGTAACGGATATGTGAGAAAACAGTCATTTTGCGTAACTACTGGGGACCACCAACCTATTACTGCTTGGAAGTAAGATCTTAGGGTTTTCATAGACCTTTGAAGATGTTTGCTTAATAGTGGTTAAAATTTTAATTAAAATGTTGAGAATTACTAGAAAGCAAATAGAGAAGAAAGTATTGTTAATCCATTAAATAATAGATATTTATAAATCTGTTGTGTATGTGCATCTTGAATATTGTGTATAATTCTGGCTTCTTCCATCTCAAACCCAATGCAATAAAACTGGGAAAGATTTTAGAGGAGGGTGACGGGAATGATGAATAGCATGCAACGCCTGTATGAGGATAGCTAAATAGACTGAAAGGCAGATGGTTGAGAGGGAATGATAAAAGTCCATAAAATCACAAGTGGCAGAGGGAGAGGATGAATAGGGTGTGATTGTTCACTGTCTCTCCTGATACCAGAACTAGAGGTTATTAAATGGAATCTGCAGGTGGTGGCTCAAAGCATACAAAATGAGGTGGTCTCCACAGGCGTGCAGGTGAGCTATGACACTTTAACAACCCCTTCCCCCTGCAAAAAATAAAACCACCTAAAGAAACAAAAAAAATAATCTCATTAATGTTAAAGTTTACATGACTTGAAAGTAACTGAACCGGTACTTGAAAGATGAATCCATTAAAGGCTGCTAAATATAAAGGCAGCATCTCTGGTTTAGAAAATCCTTTTGAACCATGAATCACTGGACACTACAAAGAATACTGGCAGAGAATCCCTATATTCTTGTCCGGTCTTTACTTACCTCCCTGGACATGTGCTGTTTGCTAGTAGAGATAGAAGTTAAAAATAATAACTTACTCTCTAAAGCTTTGTCTCCAGTGCTGAGACAGCACATTGCTCCTGCATGTTTCTCTCTCACAACTGTTTACTTTGGTCCTAAGTTGTGTTTTAGGGGATTTCAGAAAATGCTCATGTCTCGGATGAATTTCTTACAGAATCTCTATCATTTCTGGATACTCCCTTGTTGCAAAACACTCCTTGGCAGTAAGACTGTGGAGGCAAGCTGATTTCTGTACAGCAAAGGAGTCCCATTACCTCTTTGGAAATTCAAATCATGGTCCAACTGATCCCACGGCACTGTGTTGTTTCAGTGTCTCATAGAGAATGCTCTTTATACACTCACATACCAGCATCGGTAAGCACGTAATTGTGCTGTTTTCAAACAAACACCTCTTAAATGATTTTTTTTTTCTTTACAGACTGTGTCCAGGTAAGAAGCTTTAATAGGTTTTGGTTTTGAAAAAGTGAATTATCATATTGCTTTAAAGATGTCAGGTTGTCAATGTTGCCATCTGAAACCTTGGTTTGTTTCAGATTTGGTGCTGAAAATCATTTTTGTCACCAATCTGTGTCTGGTATGGAACTACAGAAATGCTTGAGATAGAGCATTTTTATTCCACAGAAAGTGAATTATTGAAGGAGAATGGAATTGATAGTATTTTTTTAAAAAAGTTTTGAGCTTGATCTAAATGAATCTGACCCAAGTTAGTGCAAGTGTTGGCCATTTCATGAGAAGCTTGGAATAACAATTTGTTTCACTGGCACTTAAAACGGTGCTAACTTCAAATTAAAAAAAAAAAACAACAACCAAAACCCAACAAAAACAAACCACCACAAAAACTACCACCAAAAAGCAAAACCCTTCAGTACTGACCTGGACTCTTCCTGTGGTGTCAGCACTAAAATTATCCTGACCTGTACTGAAGCCCCTGAAGTTAATGAACTTGTCAACATCAGAATTAATGAAGAGCATGTAGTGGATGGCATAAGTAGACTTGACATTTGCTCTACACAAATTCTCCCTACCTCATACCTCTTCATTTCACAAAGGTGAGTGGAAATAAGAAGCTATAGGATCTGGATTACACTCAATGCTAAAAAAAGTTGAAAACAATGCTTTGTGAAGAATTAAGATGCCTGATTATTCTGTTTTCCAACTGCCAACAGAAAGCATTAATTCCGTGCTTGTCTCTTCATTCAGAATTCCTAAATCTTACAGCCTGGTACCTCTTGCGGTATTTGAGACTGAAATTCTGCAGCTTGTTTAAGATAGCCTTCTGCAGTATCGTCCCAACTATGGTCTGACTTGGTAAGACGCTGTGAGGTAGATATGCCTTTTACATAACTGAAGCAGTGAAAAGTAGGTAACGATAACCATTTGTTATTAGG